TTGATGGGGAGTTTTATGATGAATGGATTAAGCTAACAAAATTTGGACCTACTTAAAATTACATACCATACACACACACACAAGATAATCAGTATATGTTTCTGGAAGTGATGCCACAAACACAACATTCTGGTTAGAAAAATGAACCTGGATGTAATCAGGTATGTAGGACAACAAATTTATACAAACACAAAGGAAAAGGTTACAAGGTAAACACCACCACAGAGTTGCAAATCAGATATGTTCAGAATGTGGGAACCACTACAAGGCAAATGACTTGGCTTCTTAAACTATAAATGGCAAGATAAAGAGGGAAAGGGTGAACAATTAAAAGAAACTTGAGAAGACATATCAACCAAACGCAATGGTTGGTACTTTTTTTGAATCCTGATGTGAGCACCCCTACTGTAAAAAGATACTTAATGGGACAAGTAGGGAAATTTGAACATTGACTGGATATTAAATTATATTGAAAAATTATTGATAAGTTTTCTTTTAGGTGTGATAATGGTATTGTGGTTATGTTTCTTTAGAAAATATTTTTCTCTTAGTGATTCATATAGAAATTTTTACAGGTTTGGCTTTGAAATAATCCAGAGATTTGCAGGGAAGAGGTAGTATAAATGAAATAAACCCAGTGTTTTCTAGTTGATTCAATTCATTGCAACCCTATGTGTGTCAGAGTAGAAATGTGCTCCACAGAGTTTTCAATGGCTGATTTTTCAGAAGCCAATGTTGTTGTTGTTGTTATGTGCGATCGGGTCAGACCTGACCCATAATGAACCCTCCTTGGGTTTTCAAGGCGATATCACTATGGAAGTAGATTGTCCAACCTTCCTTCTGAGGAGTGGTTGGTGGGTTTGAACCCCCAGCCTTCTGGTTAGCAGTCAAGTGCCTTAGGCACTATGCTACCAGAGCTCCTTTAAACGCATTAGTAGTTCCATTTTGCCATTGAAATTGATGATAGTGCTTCACATCCAAATAGTATGGAAGTCTGATACTGTCCATCTGAGAATGGCAAAAGTACCTCTTCACCTCCTCTCTTCCATCTCATGCATTCTCAAGTATAAAATTATCATGTTAGCCCCTTCTCATGTACAGAACCAACTCCAAGTTAAGCTAATTCTTAGTTTTATTCCTGTTACAGTATGGAATAATCAAGTTATCTCCCAGTAGATTAAATAAGAGTACACAAATGTTGATACTGGATGGTGGATACATAAAATACACACTGTACTAATCTATTTTGGAAGATGTTTGGTAATTTCTATTATGTTGTTGTTGTTGTTGTTACGTGCCGTCGAGTCGGACCCGACTCATAGCGACCCCTCCTTGGGTTTCCGAGGCAGTATCACTACGGAAGTAGATTGCCCCATCTTCCTTCCGAGGAGTAGCTGGTGGGTTTGAACCGCCAGCCTTCTGGTTAGCAGTCAAGTGCCTTAGGCACTACGCTATCAGAGCTCCTAATTTCTATTATAAAATAGTTTAAAAGGGAGGGAAGATGGAGGGGAGCAAGAAAACATACATTAATGATCTGTTCATGGAGGAGTCTGATCATAATCTTCCTTCCTTCTGTGATCTGCCAGTAAAAATATGTGATGATTCTGGAAAAGAAGAAAAAAAAGAATGACAGACACCCTTGACAATGTTTTACAGTCTCCAAATTTCAACTGGGTGAAAAAGAACTGTGATATGTGCTTCCAAATGATTTTTGGCCCAAGTGCGTTCCTGAAAAGCTGTGCCATGGGAAGTTGTGGGTTAAGTTAAATGTATTAGAGCAGTGGTTCCCAACCTGGTGGCACAAGGAATCACTTGCGAGGTTGCTGTAGAATCTAGATCAGTTGGTGTCTGTTTTTGCATTGTGCCTCACTCCATGTGGAGTTACTATCCCACATACCATCACAGCTAGACTTCTTAAAGGGGGAGCTTTGGTGGCACAGAGGAGCTCTGATGGCTTGGTGCCTAAGGCATTTGATTGATAACCAGAAGACTGGTGTTTCAAACCTATCAGCTGCTCCTCGGAAGGAAGGTTGAGTCATTATTCATCCAACGGATCCTTCCTGTGCAAGAAAATGGATCCTGCATGCAGATTTCCATGCAGGAAATTGGCAGATCTTTTAATTTTTCACAGAAGCCAGAAAATAATTTTTAATTTGAAAATTAAGTAACCAACCCACAGCACTGAGGATGTGAACTACAATGTGCCTGCAGATCACATTTATGCCTGGAGCCACCATTTTTTAGTCTGTTCAACACCATGCTGCCTCTTCCTATATATATATATATATATATATATATATACACATACACACAAACACACACATGTGTATTTATTTTTGGTGAAAATATACAAAACAAAACCCACTCCCACTGAACAGGTTCTAGACATAATGATCAGTGACACTGGTTATATTCTTCATATTGTGTCAACATTCTCATTATTTCTGTTCTAGTTGTCTCACTCCCATTGACTTAAACTACCTGCTTCCAAGCCTTCTTGTATAAGCTTTAAAATAGCTGTTGTCCATCTGGTCTTATATATATGGATTTTTAAAAGAATGCAATACTCCAGGGTGATAATCTTTACGATTTGAACTAAACTGTTATTTAGTTTAAAGCTGACTTCAGAGGATAGTTTCAATTCATGGTTTGAAGAGTAACTCAGGGCAATGGTCTCAGAGACCAGCCTCAATAGGTCCAATAATTCTGGGTTCTTTAAGAATTTGAAGCTCTGTTTCTATCACAATCCATCTATTGTGTCCCTGATCAGAATGTTCTAGTTCTTCTGGTCTCAAGGTAGAGGAGACATTGTTTTATGGAGATGATGCTGCCTCTTCCTTTAGCAGTCAAATGCCTTAGGCACTATGCCACCAGAGCTCCTAAAGTAGGAGCTACTAAGGCAAAATTATAAGTACTATTCTGGGTTTTTCAAATATGATAAATTCTAGGAAACAACTACCCAACTTCTGAACTAGTACTGAGAGGCAGAGCTAATGTACAGACATACCTTGGAGATACTGCAGGTTCAGTTCCAGACCACCAAAATAGACCAGACATTGCAATAAAATGAGTCACACAAATCTTCTGGTTTCCCAGTACATATAAAAGTTATATTTACTTATGTATTATACTGTCATCTATTAAGTATTATGAAACATTATGAAAAAGTTTAAAACATTTTAAGAATTACCAAAATGTGACACAGAAACACAAAGTGAGCAAATGCTCTTGGAAAAAATGGCACCGACAGAGTTGCTTGACACAGTGTTGCCATAAATCTTTAATTTGTAAAAAGATACATATATGTGAGGCACAATAAAGTAAACTGCAATAAAACGAGGTGAACCTGTACTGAAAAGTTCACGAGATATGGAGTCAGTCAGAACTGGACCACCATTTATTTACAAGGGGTTGGTCCTTGGTCTTCTGTAAAATGGGGATAATAACACTACCTTAACTTCCTCATGGATGGGGGTATTATAAAGATCAACTATGGCCATCAGATTGACCGACTATTTGTTTAAGGTCAGGTGCAATGCACTGCTCAGTCCTGGCTCTCCAGGTGAAATGTAACATAGGAAAGAGACCATCCAAGGAAAACTACCAACGAGGTGGATTTTAGAGATGAGAGAGATGAAATACACCAAACATCTCTGCCATCCATGATTACCACCTAATGAAAAGGAGCCTATGAGAGTAAAAACCTATTGAGTTCAGGGAAACAGGAAGGAAGAATCATTATATTTCCCAACAGTGACACACTAAGAACATGGCTTCACTTCTCTTATACAAGTCATGCGGCCTGGTGAAAAAAATACCAAACTCACAGCAATGGCCATAACAGAACAACAAGGTACAGATATGGTAGAACACCTATCAAAAGTACATGACCAAAGTTTGGGAAACTCTCCCATAACAACGACCAATATTTGCAGAAGTTTCCAAACACTGGTCCATGGGTACCTCAAAATCACTTAGAAGGGGTCATTATATAGATTCCTAGATCGTAGGAATGGACCTACTACTGTATCCAAATCTCCAGGGAGTGGAGGGGATGGGATACAGGTTATAAATCCATGTTTTGGCAAAAGATTTCTAGATGATTCTAATGTGAATGCAGGAATTACTGCCTATGAGTGGAGACACCCGTGTTATGGTCTCAGTTGTGCTGGTATAATACCAAGTATTCCATGGACTGTGTGGCTAATTGTCTCCATGAATTACTGCCTACTTTGCCATAAGACCAGAAGAACTGGATGGTGCTTGGCTACCATTACTGAACATTTTGATCAAAGATTCTATGGACGAATCCTGATCAAAAGGGGGTAAATGCAGAGCACAATTTAAATTTCCCATGGGATCTAGGCATTCTGGGCCCATGGAAGCTGGATGAACCCCTGAAACTATTGTCCTGAGATAACCTTTAAACCTTAAAGCCAAAAATATCCCTTGAAGCTTTCCTAAAACCAAACAGTAGTTTAGCTTAAAAAAAAAAAGTCTGCCTTGAGCATAATGCTCTTGTGTGATTTGTGTGAAAGTTTACAGAGCAAATTTGTTTTCCATTCAACAGTTCACAGACAGTTTGTTTCCTGACACTGATCACAATTTCCACAATGTAACAGCTCTTTTCCTGTTTCCTCCCTGTGGTTACCTTGGCCCTGTGTCCTTCTTTACTATGCATTCCTGCTCTCTGAGCTTTCTCCTTGTGCAGATGCTGCCCTTCTGATCTCCCTTGTTTGATTGTTCTAAGGACTAACTACCTAATTGTTCACCTCCTAGGCCTATCTATTGTTTGGCTGGAAGGTAAGCCATGAGAGTGAGTTCAATTCCAGGCCCAAAAGTTGAGTAGGGGCCATAGCCTTCCGGGTTTCACCACTCTCTATCAGATCAGTAGGCCTGGGCCTTTTTTTTTTTTTTTTCTTCATGATTTTGAGTTCTGTTCCACATTTTTCTCCTGCTCTATCCAAGATCTCCAATTTTGACCCCTTTCTGAGTGGTTGGCAGTGGTAGCCAGGCACCATTCTAATTCTTCTGGTCTCAGGGCCATGTAGGCTAAGGTTCCTATGGGCCACCAATCCCTTGGACTAACTGTTTCTATGACTTTAATCTTCTTTTCTCTTCTCCAGATGCCTGGGGTACTGCAAAAGCCTCTTGTACTGGGTTGAATAGTGTTCCCCTCAAATTCATGTCCACCTAGAGCCTCAGTATATGATCTTCTTTGGAAGTAGGGTCTTTGCATATATAACTATTTAGAGTAAGATGAGTTCATACTGGATTAGGGTGGGCCCTAAATCCAATATGATTGGTGTTCTTATAAGAAGAGGAGAGGACACATGGAGACACAGACACATAGAGGGTAGTAGGCCATTTGACAACAGAGGTAGAAACTGGACTGTTGAAGTTGCAAGTCCAGAAATGCTAAATATTGCCAGCAACCACTAGAAACTAGAAAGAGGCCAGAGAGGATTCTTCTCTAGAACATTTGGCATCTCTCTGGGTGATATATGTAATTATTAGTTGCTGTTGAGTTGGATCTCAATTCATGGAGACTCCATGCAGTCCATAGGGTTTTTGGCTGATATTTACAAGTAGATATCCAGACCTTTCTCCCTAGTCTCTCTTAGTCTGGAAGCTCTACTGAAACCTGTTCAGTATCCCAGCAACAAGCAAATGTCCAATGACAGACAGGTGGTGGCCATGCATGAGGTTCATTGGCCAGAAACCAAACCTGTGTGTCCAGATAAAACCAAAACCAAATCCACTGTCATTCTGTTGATTCTGACTCATAGCAACCCCATAAGGTTTCCAAGGCTATAAACTTCTACAAAAGCAGACTGTCTCATTGTTCTTCTGTGGAATGGCTGGTGTGTTCAAACCACAGACCTTTTGATTAGTAGCCAAATTCTTTAACCACTACACAACCAGAGCTCCTTGGGTCTCCACATTGAAGGCAAGAATTCTGAACCACCGTGTGTAATATAATATCTCACAAATGCTGTGTTGACCCAGTTTTGAGATCCTGGCTAGAGGCCTATTTGTTCCCTTTCTTGAGCAACTGATTAAATCCATTCTCCAACCACTCACATTCCTGGGCCACTTTGTACCTGCCCTGCTTGGCATCAGGGCCAGATAGTAAACAAGTAGGGATAGCTCCTCTGTTCCACCCACCCTGCTTGCCAAACATAAGCTTTCTCTTACAACTACATCTTGTTACTCTGCTTGTTACCCCTGCAGGGTGTGTTGTGCTTTCCCCCTGGAACTGTGAGTATAATAAAACGTTTAAAACTTTCACAGTCTTTCTTTCTTAATCTGCCTCTGTCCTTATCCCTTATCCAAGGTACTATGATTAAAACGCTGTGTTTCCTCTCTTGCCCCATTCTCAGTTATCTTTCTGCACAGTTGACTGAGTGATTGTTTTAAAACCTAAGTCAGATCATGCCACTTGTCTGCTCAAAATCCTGCAACAGTTCACTCCAAGTAGAGGCCAAAGTCCTCATAATAAACCAAAAGGACCTATATAATTTGCACTTCAAACCTTACCTTATGTCTCTAATTTACCCTACCCCTTTCTCCATCTTCATTCTGTTGTAGTAACGTTGGTATCTTTACTTGAATTCACCAGGCTTCCTCCTGTTTTAAGGCTCTTATACTTTATGGTCTCTGCTTGGATCTCTCTCCCAAATATAAATCCATATTCCTTATCTCCATCAGGTGACCACATCACCCAAGCTTCCTTACTCTCTGGCTTCCAGTTGGGTTCAGCTATTGGGAAACACCAGCAGGAGATTGGAGGAAAGAGGCATTTATTTCCCTTGCTCCCTCCCTGTTCCGGAAGGAGCTATGTTCCTCTATGCCAACAGTTCCTGTTAGGCAGCTGTCTTCCAAGCCCCAGCAATCCCAATATCTAGTAACACCATTCCCTCCCTTTGCCCAGTCAGGCCAAGGGGCCCTTAATCACTTCTCACTGTTGTTCCTCACACACACTTCACTTCCCTTGTTGGTTCTTTTAACCTGACCACAGCTTTGTAGATATTTTCATGAAACTTTCTTTAGTTAAACCCTTCAAGTGAGCATCAGCTTTCTGTTGGAACCCTGAGTAATACTATCAGGATACAATCTGTCCCATCAACAAGGATAAGGAAGAGATCAAATGAGAAAATAACAATAAAAGATGGTATTATTAATATGCTGATCTTGATCATAAAAAATGGACCTTGTTTAATTTGGCCTGTTTTTGAATGGAAACTACTGTTTGTAAGATGTCCCCCCTTCCATTCACAGGTTAATGTATTTGGAATTCTATCTTACAACTGATGTATACATTGAATGTTTCAGATTTTCCCCAGAAAGCTGTCATTACGTCAGTGGTGTTCTGGTTGATAGAAATTCAAAGGTAAATACAGTATCAGTAATGCCCAAACCATTCTAACATCTCAGACAGATTAACAGCTAACAATCTCAGAGAGTCACACACATAATTTTCCTAAGCATTCTCATATCTGTATTTTCATTTTATACTTATATCATCTCTTAAGAGAGACAGCAGGTCTTCCTTTCTTCATAGAACAGGCAAGGAAACTAGAACAAAAAGATCTTAAGTAACTTTTGAAACAATTACCCACCCACAGACGGTAGAGTCTACATCATCCAGTGTTGAGCTCTTGCTTTCCCACCACCCATCCCAAGGGCTGTCCACACCTGACATTAGTGAAGTGTTTCCCTCCAAATACAACACATCTCACTTACAACACAATGAGAGTGAGGATGAAAAAGAAGTGCACGCTTCCAATGAGGTTCTGGTAAATCCAAACAACCCACAGGTAGCTAGGCCTGCTACTTAGTGTATCGATCCAGCTGTAGATGGACTGAATGAAGAAAGGCAGACCTCGGAATGGGCCACAGTCAGCTGAAGGCTTCAATCTGGTGAAACACAGTACAGAAACACACCTCAGCATGAGGCTCAGGCACTGCCTATTACAGAATCAGGGTGTCCTTTCTGGGCTCTTGATCTGGAAGTGACAATTCTTGCCTGTTCCACCCAGTAACTCATGGTATCACTCTCCACCCCACACCAGACCATACAAAATCCTCAGTAATGTTTATTATAAAGTGTAATCATAGAACAATATGTGCTAAATACAGTTGTAAATTGCTTAGATATAGTATTTCTTAATTTATAAGAATATTAACATCAAAATCTTTCTACATTGAATTACAACATTATTAATTACAGTATTATTAGTAACTGAGCCTTTTAAAATTTTTCTCCTTTTCTTTTCATCACTACTTCATTCTCAAAAAAGTTATTAATATATGTTCACAAGTACTAATTACCACAATACTGTAGCTAAAACACCAAAAAATGTTACAAAATCAGTGACTATAAAAACTCTGGCAGCAACAAAAACAACAGTGCATACTGGTAGCATGTGCAGACAAAACCATGAGACGTGAAGTGTCACGGGAATTGGGTAGAATAATGACAGTTCTAACCGGAATGCATTAGAAGCTTCAAAAACTAAATTAGCATAGAGTTGAGGCTTGCAGGTATATTGATGCATATAAGCTTGGTTTAAGAAAAATGTTTTTTTCCA